CAACGGATATCATCGAGGCGGCAGCGGAGATCGAACAGGCCCAAACACCGGGGTTTGACCTCTTGCGCAGTATTGCCCCTGTTATGGCGGTGGCTTTTGCGGCGCCGACGATGGCGCTTAGGAAGGATGCCGTGGATACGATGACGAGGTGGGCAAGGAGGATAGGGGGGCTGGGGAGTATTATTGGGGCGATTTGAGAGGGGGATGGGTGGGAGATGGCTGTATATGGCAGCGAAGTCGAGGGTTCTGCGACGCACATTTGAAGTGCGAGAGTGATGCGCGAGTGGTGGGGCGCTCTGGTGCGGGATTCTTGCGCCCGCCGCATGTGGTCGTTCTCTTGGGCCAGCGGGCGATGCGTGTCCGCCCCCAGTCGTTTCTTCCGCGGCAACTGAAGACTTGGTCGCTCTTCGTGTACCATGGATGGACTCGATGTCATGGTCTTGCCAGTCGCGCGCACCAGAGACTGCTCGCTGTGGACAGGTTGAACCAGATCAACGCCAATGTCTACCAGACGTGGGAAGCTGCTCGAACGCGAAGACCTTTCCGGCAATTTTCCTGGGTCTCCTACTGATGTATCCTCTAGACTTCGAGGTCTGAGTGGCTGCCTGTCGCTTCCAGGTGGCCGCGGTATGATCGTTGGCAGGGCGCCTTCAGTGGCATTCGGGTCGTTACCGAGTTCGAGCGACCGCTCACATTCAAGCTCTTTCAAATCGGCCAATATCCAACCGTCTGCTTTTCGCACATTCACAGTCGTCACAGCGGCCTGTCTTGTACCCCTAGAGCCTACATCAAGATAGAAATATGTAAAGTAGGTGGCCCTACGTCGACGTAGGCTCCCGAGGTCTAGGGTGTTCAGGTTTTCCCTTGTAGGAGGTGGACTGTTTGTATCGCTTCCGTACTGCGTCGCGCAGCGACGTCTTTACCCACTCGGCTTGACCTCCTGAGACCATTGACAACCTTGGAAATCACATAGCACCGTCACGGGCGTTGGCCAATAACGGTACCAGGCCGCGGCCGTGATTGGACAGGAAATGCATAGCGAAGCTCCGCAATGGACCAATCTTCCAAGATCTTTGAGGCGACAGTCTGGGTTTTGGGTCCATTCATCGCGGCGGTAGGGAAGTGTGGTAATAAAAAGCGGTGTTGCGCGACCAAATGCAATCTCGTTTATTGGGTGGAGGATGCGTAAGGGAATTGGAATTGCGCTACTTGCTATAGGCTCTAGATGTCTGTACCATTCCCTATCTTTGCAGAACCACAGTACGGAGGATTCCGATCCAAGGCTCTCAGAGATGCGATACTCCTCTCTTTTTAAGAGTATCTTCTCGCGTATAAGTCGTATGAAATGCCACAGGTGTGGTTGGCTCGTCGTTTCTGGGTCGTCTCTGGGTCATCCCAGAGTTTGATCCAAAGCATCTCATGTTAGCCAGCCTTCACATGTACTCTCTCGATTCTATAAAGGTATTTACGCCATGTACGAGAGTTCCGGTGGCCATACAATCCAGGATTTCACCTCATCGCTACAACTCTCCACTATTCATCTCAACTCACAATGGCACGTCCTCTTACCTCACGCCTAACACTCCCAGGAGCAGGCACCCCCGTTTTGCGAAACATCAATAGCATCTGGAAACTCTACGATGCAAGTTACGCCATCCCATACGACCTACATCCCCACGGCGAGCATCGTGCGAATAAATGGTCCCGACTATTCCAGATGCGGCTCGAGCGTCTTGTACTGCTCACAAATGCACGAATGAAGGATCAGATCTTGGAGCTGATGCGCGATGTGGTGTATTTCAGACACCAAGGAAGACAAAATCGGCTGAAGTGTGTGACTGTTTGCGATCTCGACAGACTATATCGCCGTATCAGACGCGAGCAAATCCGCGAGGACAAGGCGATAGAAAGAGCAGAAAGACTGTATTATCGGCAACATATGGAACAGGTCAGGCGATTTGCGCTAGTTGTTCAAGATCTGCGTCGAGCGAACATAGCCCGGCAGCAACGATAATGTAGACTGGCTCCTGGATCCATCGACGACACCCCTTAGAATCGGTATCGTACATTAAGTGCGACGTGGAAGAGGAACAGGATACCGACAATGACCTCCCATACCAAGCGTGAACATAACTTCGCCTTCAACTCCGGCTACATCCTTTGTCACCCCATTGTCGTCTTTGTCCACCATCGCACAACGCCATCTCCTTTCACCACCACCACACCCGCAAATACTACCTCCAACTCCGCAAACCGTCAGCACGTCCACCAAACACCATCACTAGCCCATGGCCTCCCCTCCATCTACATGCTCCTCAAAACAACCGATTTCTACCCTTTGGCCAAGATCGAAGAAAGAACCGCTGGAGAAATCGCACGCGCAATGTCAGGTCATCCACCATACCCTGCGGGCTATCCGTTTCTTCCTCCTTCGAAAACTGATCAAAGTGCGACTGAGCGCTTAGCAGAGGTTAGGAAACTGTTAGCGCAGCAGAAGGAGGGGGCAAAGAGCGGGAGTCGCACGAAAATCATGCAGTCAAGGGGTCTTCCTCCCACTCCGCCAAAACACGCTTCGGGTGCGTGGGGGGGTTTGGAAGAGGCAAGAAAGCTCATTGCTTCACAGATGGAAGGGCAGAGGAGGATGAATGGCAGCGAGACACGGCCGCGGAAAGTGAGATGTTCGTCGTCATCCATGTCGTCGGTTTCTAGCGATAGTCTGCTGGGGTCGTTGCCGATGACTGAGCGACCGGGACGGGCGTATCCTCCTAGCTTGCCGTCGCCGCTTCCGAGGAATCACCCGAGGAGTCATTACACGCGACATCTAGAGCCATTCTCGGATGAATCATCACACAGTTCATCACCAACACGCGCATCACGACGATCTTTGCGATCGACTCATGATAAAAGCGATCATGGACGGAAGTCACACCGACCATCACACAGAAGAGACCGAAGTTGCACTCCCATGGATGAGGTTTTCGTACAAGACATCACGTGGCCGCCATTTCCTGAATGGCCAGATGGGGTGTCGAGGGATGAGGAGATGAAGTTTATCGAGGGCGAGATAGTGCTTTATATGATTAGAGAGGCGTATGAGAGATCTGTGGGGCGAAAGCTTGTGGCTAGTTATAGGAAGAGGGTGCTTATGTATGAGAGGGATGTTTTGGCTTGTAGGGTTAGTGGGAAGGGGAAGAAGAGGAGGATGGGGCGGTAGAGGGGCAGAAGTTTGCAATGATAGTCCAATGTATACGTAAGCTCTATGAACGCCTAGTGATAGATTGCCATACGGATTGAGGCGCTCTTTCTCTTGCTGGCAAAGCATGGTTGTGTTGAAATAACCTTTGTTTAGGGGGCTCTATCAAATTGTGCTGTGTCTTTGTTCGAGCACAAAAGCGCGACTTTCTTTCATATCGCACTATTTCGCAAAAGCTTTGGCAACGTTGAGACCGTATCAACCACAAAAGAGCCGCCGCAGGATTACGTAGCGATCAATCCAATTCCTACGCACGACCAATCCGTCCCAGCGCCGCCAACATGTCTGAGCTTCAAATTGAATACGCGCCCAACAGTCTTTTCGCCCCAATGGACGATCTGCAGACATACATACTCAATACCTGGGATCTGAGGCACCCGCACGACTTCTTCACACCACCACTCCCATCTCTGGAAGAGTACAGGTTCTCAGACCCGTGGCTCATGTTCGCCTTGTTCTCGCTTGCCAAAACAACCTCACTCGATACGGCACGTAAGGCATTGCGTGAAGTACTTACACGCGATGAGCATGAAGGTGAAGTCACGGCCAGGGATGTCCAGGAGGCGCGAGATTATGTCATCAAAAATATGGAGCCGGGGGATTTGCAAAGATACAACAAGGTCACTGTACCGGGACTGAGAAGAGATGAAGTGAGGTGGAATAGATACAAACATGAGTATGAGGAGGATTACCATGACTTATTGCGAAGGTTTGGCAGGCAGGGGGACTGAGTGGGGGACAAGGTCTATATCACGTCGTGGCAGTCGGCATGACGGGAGACGCAGTCGTGAGAGAACGCCCGTGGGTAGATCCCCACTTCGTTACCGGCAGCAAAGTAGGGGCCGACCTCGACCACGCGATCGTGAGAGACGTGCACAAAGCGTCAATAGGCGATCCAGCCCACCGCCGTATCCTTCGCCACAGCGAAGTCGTCCGGTCGAGCAACCAGCCTATCGCGGCGCAACCACTGATCATTTCAATGAACACACCATCGAGACGCCCAACTTCGGAGCCGAGCCGTCAGGTGCCACTTTCGACGAGCAGCTTGAACTACGGAATGAGGCAATGCAATTGCTGGGTGCGCAGCAGGAATACTACGAAGCTGTGAGGCGGAAGATGCTAGCTCGATATATGATGAGAGTGCAAATGTATGAGAAAAGGTTGCTCGAGACTAGGAAGCGCGTCGCTGGCGAAGAAAGAACTCGGTACAACAGAGACGATGAAGGAAGAGGTAGGGGAAACAGAGGTCACGAGAGGGAGACAAGGGATAGCCGGCGACGATTTTGATCGCTACAGCACATGTAATGTCTCCTTTCTCTCATTTTCAAGTGCCAAGTGTGAGCTTCGTTAAATTGGCAGATTCGATCAACCTTCCCGTAGCGCATGTTGTATCGTTAGTAACGAAAAGTACTGCGTGATCCAGTCTGCTTCACTTCATGGATACCAAAACCGTGCACACTTACCTGCACTAGCTCGGAACTACCTAGGTAGCCCCGGAGGACTTGAGCAGGCCTACAACTTCCACTCCCAGTTGCAGACCGTGTTCAACCTCTACACGCCTTTGGCCAGATATCACGATATGAACGCACACAGCTCAGAGACCGCGATTGCACGTGCTCGTCGTCGCTCTGCATGTGTACCTCCGACGATCATTGCTGACGACATATCTCAACAAGAAAGCGCTCTGGGGGGCAGTCGTCGACGCTTGTCTGAGATCAGCGATACCTCGAAGAACGTACACTCTCCAATGGACATGCCTTTCCGTCCGGCGCTAAAGCGTTCTGCCGACGCACTTACCGTTAACGAAGACCGCAACACTAAGCGTGCTCGCGAAAGCCACGACTCAGACCAAGCGAAACCAGGAAATACCCCGGTGGATGACTGCCTCTTGCTCAAAACCCCCAAGTTCTTCGCGAAGGCTTACATAGCCGGACTCGAGCGTCGGCGTCAGGAGCCACGTTATCTGGACGAGGATCAAGTTAGCTCTCGAATGAGCGCGCGTGACCGCCGAGATATCTCCCGATCCGCACTGCGCCCTCAGAGTCACCGTCCACGCATGACAGCACATAAAGCCAAGAGCCCCGATGCACAGCCCGTCCCGCAAACGACCTCTACGCCTAAGCTAAAGACCGAAGACTTCGGAGACCGGATCGATTTCCTGAACTTCGGATACGATGATTTCCAGCCCAAAACGCCAGAGGAGAGGCTGATGAAGTACCGAGCTGATGTTGAGTTGTCCAAAGTGCACGCAAAGCGCTACAAGCTTATGGCAGATCGCAAATCGAAAAGCTTTTATTCCGACAAAGTACCGCCTAGGACGGACGAAACTGGAGACAGCCTTTACTTCCTGAAGGAATACGACGACATCAAGCCCAAGACACAGGAGGAAAAGTTGATGAAGCTTAAGGCCGATGTCGAATTCTCGAAGATACATCAGGATCGGTACAGGTTCAAAACTGCCGAGCTGTTGTTCGAGGGCAGAGCAATATTCGCGCAGCTCCTAGTGGATGTTGAGGAGTCTCGATTGAAGCTCAGACGGGATACTGCTGCTGATGCAAATCCGAAAGCTCCCTGGTCTAGCCTCGAAGAGCGAAACCATGGCGCAGAAGGTTAGGATAAAGATGCACGAAAAGCAGGTTATTGGGCTAAGAAGACGCTCTCGCGGAGGCGGAGGCGGAGGCGGAGGCGGAGGATTTGAGGCGAGCAAATGCGAGAGAAGGTAGGAGGGCGGCTGTCGGAGGTACCGGTGCGAGAAGAGTATCTGTAAGCCGGAAGCGGCGATCGATGTGGCTAGTTGGTGTTTCATGATAGATCTGGATAGCTGCGAAAACTACAGATATGGAGGCGTTGCAGCGCTACTATTGTAGAATGATATCGCATCACTGTGGAGATATTGAAAAGTGTGCTACAGTTTGCTAGACCTTGTTAGCAATGACGACCCATCAGACGTGTCACTGACTATCTCGACCAGGCCGGTTTCGTTTTAATCCAGCATTTCCATAGCGTGGGCACCAAGATGGCACTCGTCTTTGTCCAAACCGTCTTTCAGTGCAAAACTGCCTTTGTTTGCTTGAATGCTTCTCTTTTGGCTGTCAAAACTTACACTGACGACGACTTTTGCACTCCGTCGCTATGGCATCTAAATGGGCTGACCAACTACACGAAACACCCGAAGTTCGGGGTCAAGAAGCGAATAGACGGAAAAATCGTTCAGACTTGCCCCCAGACCAAAATGGGCGACCTGCAAGTACTGATAAAAGACGTCACAAACAGACGGAGCGAAGGAGTGAATCACTGAACACCCAAGAAAGCGCCTTTCAATCAGCCGAGGACGCGCCTCACGAAACAGCTTTACTTCATGAAAAGTTCGCAGGCATCGATGGAGATGACGGTTTGCTGGAAGAACCCCCTGATGACCCCAAAGGTGCGTCTTTCGACGACTTGCGAACTCTACATCTTGAGAAAGATCAACTATACCAAGCGCAGGAAGACTACTACCATGCTTTGAGACTGCAGATACTAGCAAGATACCGAAGAATGCACATGAGCTATTCGAGCGCTGTACGCTTCGTCGATAGCAGGGTCGATAGTGATCGGATTGGCAAAGTGATCATGTCAAGAGGCAAGGGAACTTCAGACACAAAGAGGAAGAGAAACAGCGATGCTGAGAAGGACAGGCGGCCTCGGGACTGAATGCAACATCCTGATCCAGACACAGATGTGAATTAGATTCCTGAACCACACTAGTCCGATATCGAAGACCGGATCAGCTTCTACGACTTTTGTTATGCACCCGAAGACGAGCATCTGACCAGAGAAGAAGACGTCCGGTTACTACCTTTCGACATCGATGTGGCCGAGACGCTGACACCTCGCTGAAAGCGATCGCAGAGCCTTCTCTGCGGCTCGTAGACTGAAGCTGTGGAGGATGAGACGAGACGCTGCGGCCCTAAATACTCCGGCCAAAGCTGGAGACCAAGAGACACGTTGTTGATAGAATGGCGAAGCTTTGCCAATATCTCAGACTGGTTTCAGGGTGAGCGTCGCATAGTCTTCTCGTATTTCTAGGGCAATTCGATCTAGTCACTAGCCCCTCAAACAAAGGTCATTGTCCATTGGTTCTCGTCCGCTTTCACTTCGTGCGTGCGCAAGCTTTGTTTGACTAGCCCCACCTTTTTGACCTGAAGCTGTTGTCATTATTTTGGGCGCACAATCCACGACACTTCACGCAGAGATATCCTACGACCTACGGCTGATCTAGATAGCTCCACGGCTTTCGCGGTCGCCTTTCTACGCAGCAGCGACGGCAACCGGATCACCAACTCCAGCGACGCCAACGTATATCCAGATCCAGGTATGTCGATCTGCCGAGAGGTTGCGCAATTGCATGACCGCTAATATGGCGCCGCTAGTACTATTGATTACATCGAGCACGCCGCCTCTGAGACCGCTCGACATTCTGACAGGACCATGGCGACTTCATACGAAGGGGATACCCCGGTCTTAGCGGAACAACTAAAGGAGATCGCGCGTAACTGGTCTGTTGAAGATGTGTATGAAGTGTTTCCGCCTCACTTGCAGCCACTGGACTGGGATGATACTCCTTCCTGGGACGAAGCAATCGCCAGTGTCTTGCTGGAGGTGTCGCGATACAGAAAAGACCATGTCGCAGTGCTCGAAGAGATTACCGCCAATACAGAACGCCGTGTGAGCAGTACAATCTGGGATAGGCGGCATTGGATCATACTAAAAGACGTACTGTTGCTGGTTAAGAATGCCCATGAGCAAGAGGCTGCCGGCCACATCTACCGCCGTGCCGATGCGATGCAGGGCTCATACAAAGAGGAGACGCTAAGGCACCTCGAAACAACCTGGAGAACTGAGGCTATCGATATCTTTCCAGAAGATATCAGACCACGGGGCGGAGAGAATCTAGAAGACTGGTTTCATGAGTTCATCCCAATCTTGTACGCCATGTCCAAGGTCGCTCTAGACGTCGGGGAGGTACAACGAGAAATAAGACTTGCGATCGAGAACAGAAAGAGGCACCCGAAAGGTATTGGCAGACCCAAAAAGCAAGATCAGGTCGATAATATCGGCATTGTTCGCCTGGACGATGTAAAGGACGCACATATCGCCCTGATAGAAGCTCATAGGATGTACAACATCAGACCAGACGTTTCCCCGAACGAACGTGGTCGAGCTGAAGAATCTGGCAGAGAGTTGGGCGGAGAAAAGGCCCCAGAGTACATTCCAGAGATGCCGCGAGCAATGGCTACAGGACGTCATCTCTTTAACAACGATGACGAGCCGGTCAATGGCTCTCCGGTGCCATCTCAGCAATCGTCAGACTTCGGGGCATACCATCAGCACACTCCTACGCCGCAACAGCGAGGAGCCATCGGTAGACTACCCGCTCCAGGGCTGTATGCAGGTAGCATGAACCTCAGGTACAACGGGCTACCGGGGCAGCCTTTTCGTCCGCTGATGCCGCGGGATAGGGCACCAAATGCTCTACTCCACGAACGAGCAAGGCAAGCAGAAGCCAATGAAAGGCCGCCAGCAGAAGGTAATTCAGCTGCACCACAAGAGCGTAGACCTCGTACCCCGGTCGAGCGCCCGACCCGTCAACATGAGCGGTCCCGCTCGCCTCGTCCGAGCGATGGCCAGACAGGGTCTCGCAGGTCTCGCAGCAGCACGCCGCCATGGGAGCGCCGTCGACGGGAGCGACGTCTTCGGAGGAGGAGAGAAGCATCCGAAGAATCCTCAGACGACAATGAAAGACGGCGCCGCGCTAAGCGAAAGCGAGATGTTGAAGAAATCGGAGAGCGGTTTGACTTCCTCAACTTTGGCTACGACTTCGCGCCTCAAACGCCAGAAGAACAGCTTATGAAGTACGAGATGGAAGCTGAAAATGCACAAATTCATGCGAAGCGGTTCAAGATTAGAGAAGAACGTCATGTCGACAGAGACAACAAGCTCTTGGCAGAGGGTCGAGCGAGGACTGCGCAGCGCATGGCGGAGCTTCAGAAGTCTCGGAACAGGGCAGCCCAGTAAGCCTGAAGGTGCCTCTTCCCACTTGCCTGGGATACAAGGTTGCGGGAAAGCGACTTACTCAAACAACCATCTCTCTCTCGGGATGCATATCGTATAGTGACATATTGTAAGCAGTGAAATTTTTGTCTTCGTAAGGATTGCACGAGCAATCCGCTAAATCTACGTCTGTCTTGAATCCGATAGTCAAAGCTTCATAGTACCCCAATGCATGGTCAAGAGCAAAGCTTCCTCCTGAAGAAATCAGCCTGTCGCTTGACGCATTCCTCGAAGTTGGGTTGCGTGGCGTATGCTTCGTAATGACCACCGCGGAACAAATGCAGCTCCTTTGGCTCAAGTGCACGACTGTATGCTTCCAATGTAGTCGCAGTGGGCGTCACAACGTCGTTATCCGCAACAGTCATGAGCAATGGTGTCGGAGAAATGTGGTGAATCCAGGCCGCTCCAGGATGCGCTCTAAGATTCTCCATGCTGACCACGAGTTAGTTGAATGAATCTTCGCTGGCATTGCAAGGTTGACTTTTGCGTAACAAACCTTCTCAGAGTTACTTGGTTTTTGAAGTGAGGAACGACGCCTTCAGCACCTCCCATGGACGCGTTACTATCTTTTGTAGTCATGGCCGAGCGGTTCAATCGATTTGGATCGACGACAGGAATCATCATAGGTGGATTGCCAGCAGCACGATCAATTCGATCTGGAATAATCAAATTAGTCAAAACTCAATAGACGTGTTAGAGGATTGGGTCGACACGTACCTTTCTGGAAATCTGCTTCCCAATCTGCGATGTCATCTGACCGAATCAAATTGGCAAAAGCAGAGTATCCCTCCACCAACGGCGCCTGCGAAACGACGGCCTTCACTCTTCGGTCCACCGCAGCAACCCAAAGCACATTACCACCGCTGAACGACGAGCCCCAAATCCCGATCTTGGTAGGATCCACCTCAGGTCGGGTCTGAGCGTAAGTAATGGCGTCGGGAATATCACTGATTTGTATCGGTGCGTCAACTTCCAGTCTAGGTCTGCCTACTCCAGCATCGCTCTCTCCAAATCCACGATTGTCGAAAACCAAAGCGGTGATGGGAAGGTTCGCCACAAGATATTCAGCGACCGCTGTCAGGCCCTGATCTTTCGTGGCCGAGAAGCCATGTGAAATGACTACGCATGGCAACTTTTGCCCGGAGTAGTTTTTCGGGGTATAGAACAAGCCACGCAGGGTGGTTTGGTCCAGCGTTTGGAAAGAAGCTGGTTGGGTGGACATGATCGCAAGGATATGCTCTGGATCCAGAGAAAAAATGTTTGTGGAAGAGGGTAATGAGTTTGAGGTGGTTGAGGCGGTTGAAGAGGCGAATCGAGCCATTAGGATGCTTTATATTATACCTAGGTACCTAGACTACCCTCAAGCTATCGTGGTTACTCATACATGTAGGCTACTTTGTAATCCATACTTTAGTGCAACCTCAGGTAAATCCTATCACAATGCTTCACAGATTCCGCCCTTACGACACTCCGGATGTCTGCGTCAAAGCTTACGTAACTAACTTCGGAGCACGTGCGGGC